TACATGTTCCTAGCCATCAAGTATTCGTTTTGTCCCACGTCTATTCAGTGGACTCTGATGGATGAAAATCCGAGATAGTGTTCAAATGACTCTACAGTAGAGACTAACCATAAGCTCATGCTCTATGCCACGTAAGCTTTGTTGGTAGCATTACTGCCAAATAACTTTCTGCCACCCCGCCCCCCCCCCCCCTCCCACTCCACCCGCTCCATTAGTCGAGCTGGACGTTGAGGTGGACGTCGGTGTATAGTGGCCATCGAAGCTACATTCGAAAGGTTGTTGCGATCTCGAGTGGAAGTAGGAAGCGTGGCGCTTCCTAAGAACGGGTTTATCATCTCTGAATGTTTCATTCATATCATTTGTAAATAATAATAGGGTAAACATTGTAACACAGCATTAAAGGAGGATCCCGCGACAAGAACAAATGTCAAAAAGGGAAAAATCGCCTAATTGGGAGACAGGCATACCTCTTGAGGGTGTGGACCGACGCGCAATTGGCTTTGATTTGGCTTTGACTTTGCTATTGAATTTGACTTTGGCCATCTAGCATGGCTCACTCTTGGCGCACTTGGTGCGGTACGCCCCCGACATAGCAGAGAGAGCGTTGCGTTCAAGGGGGCATGATGAGAGTCACATCAATGCTCAAATCAACGGGCAAGGAAGTGGTCCATTTCTCGGGTTCTGGGCCGTTTCCCTTGGTTTTTCCTTCTTTCTTGTACGCTGACCACCCTTAGTTTTAATTTGAAATGAGGTTGCCTTTTCAGCTTAGATTTCCCCTTCAGTAACATACTATGATAGTTGCTCTGCCCGTTTAAAGCTTGTTCGCTTTTCTTCTGCAATCTGACCACAACTTGTAAGCATGCAGCACTTGCTCCAGCCGCGCGCGCGATAATCGTATAGGCGCGGTTCATGGTCGTTGTCCGATCGCCAACGATCGCATAGCATAGATATGTACCGACTATGAATGCGCCCTGACGGTAGGGCTGAGGTCATCGCCCCAAATACCGTAGTCACCGTTGCGACTCCCTCATTAAGGCTCTAACAACCCACGCTTGCTACTGGTGTTGCTTTTCGAAGCTTCCAACCCGCCCCTACTAAACTGCTAGGGTACCTAACAAGTAGTAAGGATGATGTGGAAATATCTCGAAATACTACTAGTATTTGCAGATGGCGAAACAACTTTCGCAGGTATGTTTTAACATTCCAACTCAACACACCTCAGCTTGAAAAGAGTGCTTTCTGCTAGAATAACCTCTCTCTCACAAGTTTTGCTATTCTTACTATCAGTTTTTTTCTACAGAGGGGCAGTAACCTAATTAACCGAACTTTCGCTCTGAACTACTACACCTCCAATGCGATAACTACCAGAGGATTCACCATGGATCACTTGACATTTTATGGCTTTTCTCATCGCGGTTGCACTGATTATCACACATATTTAATGAAGCATGATACTCCTTGAAAACATTCGAAAAATAGCCGGCAAAGTTGAAAATCATGAATTTCAGCTCGGAACAAACGACGCAGTGCGATGGCCGAACGGCGGCTGAAGAAAGGTCTTCCTGAATTCGATATTCCTATTCCAGAAAGTTTTCAGAACGCTCGAAAGAACAGCCTGGCCTCGTTGACCTCTGCAGAGAGCCAGTAAGTTTAGCAGGCTATTTGAAATATAAAACGGACTTCATCAAGCTTGGTGAACCGACGAAACGTGATTTCCGAATAATAATTACTCGATTCCAGAAAGCATTCACCACTACGGTTACCACATCTCAATTGGAAGCGTTTTAAGAAGAAGGTAATTTTTTTACATAGTTAAGCATTTCTCAGCATTCTTCTAGGGTTAGGCACAATTTCAGAGCTTCCCTGAAATTTTTACCGCAATTATAAATTTAGGGCCTTTGGCTGTGCTAGTGAGGGTTCTTCCACTTCTTCTTCCCAGTGTCAGTCCCAAGCAGTAGCAGAGTCCGCTATGCTAGTGAATGCTTATTAGTACTATAAAATACGAAGAATAAGAAACCAATTTCGACCAAGCACTTTTGGATGCGCCATGCATTTAGCTCTCATTCAAAGGCACGAGACAATCGAATGCGTATGTGATCTGTTCGTTATTCTTTGAATCTTCCTAGACAGCATGATACCCTTTGAAAGCCAAGAGGAACAGCTTATCAAATCAGAAACCAAAAATGTGAAGGGGAGCAAAAAAATGATTTTCTGCTCATGTACATCATTTTTCGTCGCACATGCTTCCGCCCATGATGGAAGTTTTACGAAAAGAAAATTCCCTGGATAACCCTCCATAAGCAGAACCACGTCCTAGCTCTTTCCTCTCACTGCCTCCAATTATGAGGTCATCCTTCGTCGACTTTGAGCTCAAAGCAGCCTACAGTGATTGATCCAACCTGAAGCAACAACCTATTAATTTTCAACTGTTTCAAAGGTGACAGTTTCTAGAGGCAATAGCTCGGAGTATGCAGGACTATGTTAACAAGCACCTATTATATGACAATGCAGTAATAGTCCGTCGAGCACCTAGTTGAGCTCGAACCTAACACCACGTTATCATGGAAGATTCTTTTGGTGTCGCCCGTTTAGAAAGCTATTATGAAGTTGTTTGAACATTCGGATGAGCTCTTGAAAGCATACCCTAGCAGTCATTGACGAAGAACTTGTTCAATATACAGTATCCCATGCGTAACACAGCCTTTGTCGCGGCCTGAAAGTGCGCGAAATGGCTCGGAGCGTAGTCGGGAGTTTCTTTTGCTTTCTTTTCTTTTCCAGAACACTCTACCTCCAGCTTCATTACTGAACATTCTCACACAACTATTTCAGCCCCAGTCTTGCCTTTGAAAAAAAGACTAGTTAGCTTGAACAATTGCACAATATCCTGATCTTATCAGCAGAGGAGCTCGTTCATTTTCCAATTACTCACCATTTTTTCAGGTCAGCTTCAAACACCCCTCACGCGCCATAATAACAGTGCCATGTACAAAGACAAAGAGCCTTTCTCTTGATTTCCATGGGTCTATGCTGCCGAAAACTCAAATCAATCACATAACCAACGGCTCGTACAGGTGGGATCTTATATTGAACCAAATAGATGAATGCATAATTTTTTAACGTTTTTCAGACGATCGTCCAACGAGCGACCGCCATTGCAGAAACAAAAACGGAAATCAAGCGATACGGTGCTCGAACTCGAGTCTGACGATTTGTTATGAAATTATATTTGGATACTGGTTGAATGCATAAATATATTTATGAATAACAAACTATTCTGTACAAGTCAATTCCAAATCAACAAAAATTCTGACGTAGCAAATTAACACGTATTTATATGAAGGCTTGGATCACTTCTGACACCCTACATCTAATCTTAATTCCTAAGCACATTCAAAAACGCCTCTTTTGGTATTTGTACATTACCTATCATTTTCATACGTTCCTTGCCTTTCTTCTGATGGCTTAACTTCTTGTTCAAACGCTCCTTTCCTGAAAAAAATAAAGAATTACAAGTTAAAGGAATCTTCCGCGGAAAAAGCTCCGCCTCCATTACCACAGAAAAACGATACCCCTTAGGCCCCTAGCCTCATGAGCATAGCAAAAAGAACGGAACATAAGCGTTAGTTTCGATAATACTAATCCCACACACAAGACAAAATGATGCCAAAGTCATGAGTGCATACCTCCACCACCAAAATTGCCTTTGAGCAATTGGGTAAAGTCTCGTTTCATCGGCTGGATAGACACCTGCGATAGCGCCTTTGACGAACTTCCAACACAAGCTAAAAATTGAAACTCATCGTCACTGAAACCGAACGAAACGCTGGAAGAGCTTGTCATATCTATGGGTACTAAAGTACATCAATCCATTCAGTAGACCAATACTTTTATGGGTTTACTGAGATACCAATTTGGCTCAGAACACTAATGAGTGCGTCCACACGGTCTTTGGCATTCTGGAGTGGAACAAACGGAATCTCTTTTCTACATCGGTGCATGTACCGCTCCGCCCACGCTAGTTTCTATCTATTTTCCCACTTTCCAAAATGTCCTTGAACAGTACAGTGAATTTCAACAGTAAGCGACAACCAGCTATGAGTGCACTCCATCCTGCGTGCGCAGGCGGTGCTCTGCTTATGCAAGCACACGCTCACGATTCACATAATGCTCACTCTCAGCATTTTTTCTAGATCTCTGGACTGTGTGAAGACCAAAAATGGATAATTTGGACCAGCAGGGCCTATTCAGATAGTACCCCGCCCATCGCATGTAGTATCCTTCTCATCCACCTATGCGTTGCTCACATTGCCTCATTTTTAACGGTACCTGAGCGGACCCGGCAGCAAACTACAAGTTTTTGTGCTCGATACAGCCTAATCTGGCGCACACCCTACACATAAGGCTTCGCCTAATTCATGCTTTGATTTTTACATCTTACATATTGTGGACGCCCCGTCGAAGTAAATAGATAGGAACTCTTGTTTTTAATGAAGCTGAACTGAGCACATACACTGATCTGGTTCGAGAGGAATGTGACCTCAAAAATCGCTGACGGGGATTAGGGTTGACGTCTTATTTAAGTAACTCAATCCCAGATGAGGTCGTGTCGAAGAATCTATTCTGTGGGTGGGATAGAGTAGCCCACGAGTATCACAGATGTGCCGTTGTCGCGGCTCGAAAGTGCGCGACAATGGCGCTAGGCCTTACAAAGTGATCTGATGGCGACTAATGTGAACTTACGGACGAGATACCTCGTGCAACGTGTATCACGACTAGCGGATAAGATAATTGATAGGTAGATAGATATGGTAGCCTTATCGCATTGATGCGGTTGCGTTCAAAACTAGTCTAAACAATCTTGCCCAGCCATCATTATGAATCGCTGTTACCCCACCTATCCGAACTGGCGTTGCTAGTTCGAATAGCGCCGACTGACAACAAGAGTCAAATTCGTTTGCCCGAGTCAAATTCGTTTTCCACACTACCGGAAGTAAGCTTGCTTGAAATGCAGAACCACACCATCTTAATTGGGTTGAGAAGCCAATTTTAACCTTTGATCGTGACTTCGAACTGCTGTCGTGGAATTTCTCTTTTCAGGCGATGCACCAGTAGCTTTGCTCGTTCTTGTGCCATAGCTGCAGGAATGATTTGGGAGAACTCGGGCACCTAAATAGAGACCGACTGAGAGATAGCAATTGAATGGATGCATACTTTTCAAAAAGAATATCCACTACTCGAGAACAATTGGCTGTCTCGAGACCCACTCAGAAGGAAGGTTTTGTCCACCCTTATGAGCTTCGTGCCATTGAACTTTCTGCTTCAAGAGATTGAAAAATATAACGAAATGTCTTGAATGTCTGTAATGAGGTCTACCTATGTTGGCTCCGCAAAGAAAGCGGCGCAGCAAGGAAGAATCTCAATTCGCGCGGCACGTGTGTTAGAGGCCGCCGAGGTAAACGATTATCACGCCACCGCCATCGCAGTGCTAGCTTCTATAGACGCGGCGCTCTTGACCAGTACAAAATGCTTTACATGATTACACTAGAAAGGACCACTCTAGAACGATCGAGAACCGCACTTCCAGCAGGACTCGACTCACCTCTCGTCCATTGATAGTTAATGTCAGTTTGATCAGCTTTGTCTCGATGTAACCGTCTTGTTCATAGTCAAACGATGCGTATCCAGAGGTGATTCGTTTCAATCGCTCGAAAAAATCAATGACCACTGAAACTCATAAGATGTAATATATCTCAATAGAACCCGACACTGACTTGGGATGCAAAACTAGACATATGAACATAGGCGAAAATAACAATGACCAACCTTCAGCAAGTGGCAATTTCCAGACGATCAATAACCTGCTCTCGTCAATCGAACTCACGTCTCCACGTTCTCCACGGCATTCAGAACACAAGCCATTTACTGCGCCCATCATTTCAGCCGGAACAATGATGCGAACCTACTGACCATTGATATTTGACAAAACAAATCAATTCTTTGTATTAATTGGAAGACACAAGTATTTCTAATTATGAAACTTGTGATACGTATAATAAATATCATCAAAACGATTGGATATTGCAGATTAGGAGCCTCAGTGGGCGACTCTCCATTTCGAGAAAAAAATCATTAAACCGAGCTTAAGGGA